CGGAGGAACCACCGCCGGCAGCTGCAGCCGGCGGACACACACACACACACACACGGTGCCACACCGGAACCCCCACCCCCCCAGGCTTTCCCTTCCCGATCTCCAGGGGTTTCCCGGGTCGGAGTTGGCAACCCTACTTAGTGGGCCCTTTGCGGTGCCTCCCTCGGGGAGAGCAAAGCGGGGGGGGGCATGGAGTGGGGGGGGGGTTGCACCCCTGCAAGCGCCTGCCAGGATTCCAGCTCAGCTGGTCTGCGAGCCCCCCCCCCTTGTCCTGTGGCTTCAGAGACCCCCGCGGCCGCCCACCTGCCCCTGCCCTCCGGGCGAGGGCAAGGACAGGCAGTTCCCCCGGTGGGGCCAGCCAGCCCCCTCTAGCGCTTGCGGAGGGCCCCTCTCTCTGCCAGGCTGCTTGGAAGGGGGGCCCTGCCGCCCCCCGCCCGCCCCCCAGCAGCACACCGCCCAGAGGAGGGGCCCCCAGCAAGGCTCCCTCTAAGCTGCAGAGCCCTGTGAGCAAAAAAATGCTCCTTTGTGAGCAACTGGTGTGAAAGTCGTGAGCGAGCGATTTGGCTGCTGCGTCAGTTACTTTGCTCTGGAGCCCCCTCCTTCCTGGGCTCAGACCACAATGTGTGATCCGGAGGCTAAAAGACTGTGAGCTGGCTCACACTCACTCAGCTTAGAGGGGGAACTCTGGCCCCCAGGCCAGGCAGGGATTAGGGGGCTCCTTGCCCCAGCAAGCCTTTTCAGCACGGAGGTCTTTCCTTCGGAGGGGGCGGCTTCACACACTTTTCAACCCCAGCTGTGGCTGTGGCCCAAGCACCGTGCCCCACGGAGGGGGGGGGAGGACACACACCAAAGAGTGAGGAGACCCCATGTCCTCTAGCCCCAAGCGGGGCAGCCCACCCTCCAGAGCAGAGCAGAAGAGGCCGGCTGCTGCTGTGGCCTTGGGATGGGCCATGGGCGGGGCGGGTGCCCTGTGCGCCTCCAGACTGATGCCACCGAGCGGAGCGGAGCGGGGGGCCTTCTGAGTTCCTGGGAGCCCCCGAGCTGAGTGGGAAGGCCCAGCCCCACGACCCTCAGCCGGCCCACTTTGTCCTGCTCCCCCCAGCCCAGGCTGGGACCTACCCTCTGCATGCGGGGGGGGGCCAGGGAAACCCCCCCAGGATTCCCGCCTCCTCAGCCGTGGCTCCCAGGAACAGGGCAGGTCACAACCAAGGCTCCCTCTGAGCTGTGCAGTCTGGTGAGCAGAAATTCTGCTTTGCAAGCTGCTTGGCATTCAAGTTGTGAGCCAGCGATTCGGCTGCTGCATACATTAGTTTGCTCTGGAGCCCTCCTTCCTGAGCTGAGACAAAGAGGTCTGAGCCGGAGGCTAGAAAACTGCCAGCTGGCTCACACTCACTCAGCTCAGAGGGAACTCTGGGTCACTCGCAGCCTCTGGCCCAGGAGGAGGCTTAGAGCTTTGTGGTCCTTCCAGCGGGCTTGATGGCCGGGTGCGCCCAGGAGCCTTGGCAACAGCGCGTAGAGGCAGCATCCCGCTCCTCCTGCCTGCTCTCCTCCGGCTGTGGGCCTTGTCCCCCCCCCCCCGGGGGGGGGGGGGGGCTTTCCACTGGGGAGGTCTCAGACCGATGATCCAGGGCGGGTCTGGTCTGTGCAGCAGGTGGCTGGCCTTCCGGCAGGAGGAATCACCATGACCAGTGTTCAGAGAAGGTGGAAAGTGTCACGATAGACAGTTGAGGAGTGAAGGCTCACTGGGTTGGGTTTAGACTTAAGATCCAGACACAGACATGACCCAGTTGCTGCTTCCCACGCCTTGGTCACCTCGAGAGCTGATTACCGGACCGCTCCCTGCGTGGATCTGCCCTTGGAGAGGGCTTGGCCCGAAAGGCAGTGGGCTCACGTTCACGCAGAGATTCTGTAACTCCTTGGTCGTGCAATTCAAATGGCTAGTTTTAGCCATTACAAACTCTGCTTGATTTGAGTCCAGGGTTGGCACCCAAGGGAGGAAGAGGAGGAGAAGATTGGATTTATACCCCGTCCTTCACTCTTGAGTCTCAGAGCAGCTTACAGACTCCTTTCCCTTCCCCTCCCCACAACAGACACGAAATCTCCTACCTGGAGTAACTGCGGTTAGTCTTTAGGATGGTTTGTTGTTGTTCAGTCGCACAGTCGAGTCCGACTCTTCGCGACCCCATGGGCCAGATCACGCCAGGCCTTTAGGATGGTACTGGACTGTTTTGCTTTGTTTTGCATCTCCTGCTGGTGGAGGAGCATAACTGTTGGAATTTGTTTCTCCCAGGGAACTTTCACGATGACCGTGGCCACAGACAAGAGGAGTGGGGCCACCTCACCGAGCTGGTTCCTGTCCCGAGCAGGCAGCACCGCGTCCGTTGTAAGAGCCCGGAGTGGGTTGTGGGGGGGGGTGTGTGTGTGTCTGGCTTTGTGGGGAATACTGGCCCGGGAGGGGGGGGGATTCTGCCAAATGGAGCGTGGGAGTGGAAGTCCTGGCTCTCAG